TTTATTAATTTTGATATAGGCTGGTCTGATTCTGTATATGATGCTAAGGTTTTTAGAAATTCTTCTTTTTTACAAAAATTATTCTAATCTTATCAAGAAAATGATTATCTTTTGGGAGATTCAGCTTATCCTATTTTACCTTTTTTAATTCTACCTTTTAAAGATCCAAATTCTCAAAAATAAAAAGATTTTAACCAATTTCATTCATCTTATTGAGTTGTAATAGAAAATACTTTTGGAAGATTAAAAGCAAAATTTGAAATATTAAGAAACTTTGATATTAAAACAGTTAAAATGGAAATTTTATTTACATGTTGTGTAATAATTTAATATAATTTCTTGAAAATTAATAAGGATATTTAAGACATTAATGATATACAGTGGTCAAAAAAAGTAATCAAAATCACATTTTTATTAATTAGAAGATAAATAAGCATTATGAACGTATACAAATTTGTACACATGACCTTTACGATCCCGTAAACAAGTTTACTTAAGGACACTCAATAGGGTATCTTATTACCATCGCTCTCAATTACTAGATCTAGCCTCAATTTCATACTACGAACTAAATTAAGAAAAAGTTTTGGTTCAATTCCCTCCCATTCCTTTTGAATTATTTCACAAAAAACATCTACAGTAACTGGTTTTTTTTAAGAATCAGTTTGTTAACCTTTTTCTCCACACGCCCCTTCAAAATTGACCATAATTTTTCAATCAGGTTGAGGTCTGGGCTGTTCGAAAGCCAATCCAACAACCTTGTATAATGTTCTGAAAGAAGTTTCTTGGTTTCCTTGGCTGTATGCTTCAGATCGTTGTCCTGTTGGAATACCCAGCACCTTCCCATGATAGAATTTGCATTTTCAAATAGGTTTTCTGTCAAAATTTCTCGGTAAAAGCACCCATCCATTATTCCTGTAAAAAGAAGAAAGCCAATTGGACCTTTTGCTGAAAAGGCACCCTATGCATGAACTTTGTACGGATGTTTCACTATAGGTTTGTGTAGAGGCTGTGTACCAACTTTATGGAAGACTGTCTGAGTATTTTGAAATATCTGGAATGTGGTTTCATCAGAAAAAACTACCTTATTCCAATTTTGTCTTCTGTATTTCATAGCAAACTTCACTCTACGCTGCTTTTGTTGGTCAGTTAGCAAGGGTATAGTTTTTAGGACAGTACTAAAGTAATTAAGATTATTAAGTTTATTAAGTACATTCTAGTCAGTTACGTTAAGGTTGGTATAATTTTCGTTCAAAATGTTTGCAAGTTCAGTACATGTATAATATCTATTTGCTGAAATGAGACGACCAAGAAAATGACGTTTTTTAGAAGAAAGTTTCTTTAGTCTACTGGAGCGAGGTAAGGGGTTTAAAGTGTTATCATTTTTAAGTTTTTTGACATAGTCATATACCGTAAAGCGTGGGATAGAGGTTAATTTGTGCAAAGTTTTGGCATCATGAACGCCATTGCTCCATAAAGTGCTTATAATTGTACAACATTGTTCAAGTGTAATGTTTGTCATAGTTGCTAAAAAAAAACTTGGTGGGTAAAACTAAATAAATAAACAAATATGTCGATCATTTACTATTATGATCAATATATCATCACGTGAAATTTTAACTTGATTGGCTTAATAATACGAGAGAAATTTACATTTTATTGCGATGTATTTTTTTCTGATTACTTTTTTCGACCACTGTAAATAATACAGATATTAAAAATGATGATGATATTTCAACTTATATAAGAGATAATAATAATACATTAAAAAGAGCTAGGCAGGCTAAAAGTGATTGGATTTTATGGCAATATTTTTCATAAATTTTTTCATTTTTAATAAAATAATTCTCTAATAAATTTTTATCAAATTGATAAATATACATATATCCAACTTTAAAATCTAACACTTATTAAACTTTAAAATTGAACACTAATCTAACTTTAATATTGAACACTTATCCAACTTTAATATCAAATACTTATTCAACTTTAATATCAAACACTAATCCAACTTTAATATCAAATACAATTCTAACATTAAAATCAAACATTAATCCAACTTTAATATTGAATACAATTCTAACATTAAAATTGAACTTTAATATCAAATACTAATCTAATGTTAAAATCTAACAGTGATCAAATGTTAAAATCGAATATTGAATACTAATCTAACTTTAATATCGAACACTAATCTAACTTTAAAATTAAACACAATTCTAACATTAAAATCGAACACTTAATAAACTTTAAAATCGAATAGTGATCAAATGTTAAGATTAAACATCAAAATTTAACGCTTAATAAACTTTAAAATCGAATAGTGATCAAATATTAAGATTGAATACAATTTTAATATTAAAATCTAACACTTAATAAACTTTAAAATCAAACAGTAATTAAACATTAAAATTGAATACTTATTCAACTTTAAAAATGAATACTTATTCAACTTTAAAATTGAACACTTAATAAACTTTAAAATCGAACAGTAATTAAACATTAAAATTGAACAGTGATCAAATATTAAAATTGAATACAATTCTAACATTAAAATTAAACACTTAATAAACTTTAAAATTGAACAGTGATTGAACGTTAAAATTGAATATTTAATAAACTTTAAAATTCAACACTTATTCAACTTTAAAAACTAACACTTATTTAACTTTAAATCGAACACTTAATAAACTTTAAAATCGAACATTTGTCCAATTTTAAAATTGAATACTAATCTAACTTTAAAATCAAATATTATTTTAACATTAAATTTGAACATTACTTTAACTTTAAAATTGAACTTTTAAATTGAACTATTAAAATAGAACAATAATTTAAATAGTTCTCAACTAAATTTATATGAATACCTGATACGTAATCATTTATTTAACTTAAAATTTATAATTTACTAGGCAAACAATATAAAATTTTATTAATCCATTATTATTATTATTATTATTATTATAATTGCTATTACTATTATTACTGTATCAATTGTTATTATTAAATTATTATTCTAGAGACTGTTTAAATTGCATTATTTTTAAATCCAATTTCTTTATTCTAAGTTTAAATTATATTTGTGATTACTCTATGTCAAATTCCATTTTTTTTTGGTAATGTATTAGCTTTAATTCGTTTAATTTCTAATTCTTTTTTTTTAAAAATCATTTCTGCTTCTCAATTTTCTTTTTCAGTCTTTTACTTTTTTTTAAATTGCTTATATTCAAAATTAAGTTGTTTCTCCTAAATTATTTGTTGTGAATTACTCATAGAAAGAATAGTATCAACCAATAGGTCTTGTAAAGAATTTTTTCTTTTTTTAATACTTTGACTTTTCTTCAAACTTTTATCTTTAATTTCCTTTTCCCTTCATTTTTTTTTCTTTAACATTATTAAAAAGTTCAGTATCATTAAAAAGACCATCTACTAAAAATCTTGAATTGTAATTTTCACAAGTTCTAATAATCTGTTAATTCTTTTAAATCATTTCCACCTGGCTTGTACTATTTCTCCTGTTTGGTTTTCTTTTTCTTTAATTTCATTATACTTAGTTACAAAACGAGATAATTTATTCTTGATTTGTTCCTATGGTTTATCTGAAAAAAGTTGAACAGAAATTTTTTTAGCATAGTTTGATTTATTTTTTTTGTAGCTAATAAAATTTTTCTCAGAAAAGTTAATAATAATATTGTATTTTCATTCTATCATCCTATAGCATCTTTAGCAGCAATTTGAAAAGTACTTTTTTTTTTGAAAAACTTTTTATCTTTTTTATTTTATTTGGTAGATACTACAAATACTGAAGTAGGTTCAACTAGTTATATTATTTTTCCTTGATTAGATAAAGGCAGTTATAAAGTAGAAACACATAAATCAGAAACTAAAGAAATAGGAGCCAAAGAAGAAGTCAATATAGACACCAAAGAAGTAATAGAAGCAAATACCAAAGGAAAAGCAGAAGTAGACACTAAAGTAGATGCAAAAGTAGTGACTAAAAAAATGGAAGTTGCTATAGCTAAAATATTTGAATTTTGTTTAAAAACTTCTTGTAATTGTAAAAGTTTTAGAGCAATTGAACGGTAAGTAGTAAATTTTAAATTGAACATTTTTAAAATTTTATAAAGATCTATTAAGATGAACTATAAATTTGTTGTTCACTTTAATCAATCTCTTGATCGCATCAGTAGCCAATCATCTAAAATTTAAATTTATGATCAAACTGATATAATATAGAATTGAACAGGATTATTATTAAAATATTATTTGCAATATAAATGTCTTATATAAATTTGTGACAGTATTCGTGATAGTATAATAATATAAAATAAAATATTCTTTTTTTTTGACATATTAGGAGAGGATTCTTTTAATTTGTATGAAAAGGTAAGCTTTTTATTCATTTTTTATTTATTTATTTATTTTGTTTTTATGCTAATTTTACTATTATTTTCTTATACTTTACAGTTCTTTTGATATACATTAGAGATTATAAGGTAATTGTTTTTGGTATTTTTTAGCTCAAAAAAAATTTTTTTATTTAAAATTTTTATTTTTTAATAATTCTAATTTTATTAATTTTGTTTATTTCTTTTTTTTAGAATTTTTAGTTCTTTTAGCTTAAAGAAGTTCAATGTGTATTTATAGAATCTAAATATTTGAAATATTAAGTCTACAAATATAATCCAAGTCTTAGAAATTGCTACTAAATATTTGATCTTTTAAATCAAAGTAATTTTTACAATTCACATCTATTTGTTAATTTCTTTATTAATTTACTATATTATTTTCATAGGTTTTGTTTTTTTAAGTATTATGATTTAAGATGTAAAATTAAAAATACAATAAAGAAATCATGGTGTAATGTAACATATGAATAATATAATTATTTATAAATTAAAACAATGTATAATAGATATTATATGATCTGTTAAATAATAAAATAATTTTTCAAAAATAATAAAATTTGCATTACAATCAGGAAATTTACTAAATAAGGAAATGAGTTCTAGAATATTCTATAGAAAATTCTTGGCTATTATATACATTTAATCAGATTTTTTTTTTCTGAATTTTCATTATGGCTTAGATAGCATATAGATAGATTGTAAAAGAGTTTTAGTTTTTATATTTGTTAATAATCAATCATAATCAACTCTTTTTGAAAAAGTAAATGAGACCTGAAAATTAGGAAATTTATAATGCATTTTGATTAATTAAAATGAAATAAAAAGTATTTTTTTTTTTAAAATAATTTAATATTTTTGAATAATTTTTAGTATTTATTTATCAAAAGTGAGCAAAGGACCTTTCATGTATTTTTGCAAATTTAGTAGAAAATTATAGTAATATTGAATTAAAACCTTGTGAAATAAGAAATTCACAAATTTAACACTATACCAGTAGTTAGAAACAGCTAAGTGACTTGCACAATATCAGAATTATTTTCTTGAGCTTATTAACCTTCATTCTTCTTTAAATTCTTATTCAGTTTGTGAGAAATATTATAATCAAACTATCATTTTTATAATCATTTTATATAACTTAAAGAAACGAGCAGTACCTAGAAAATGAGCAACTCTTGAAAAATAAAAAGCTTTTGGAAAATAAATGGCTTTGACTCAATAATGATAAAGATAATAACATTGATATAGTGGTTGAGCTTAACGAGACTAAAAGTCTTCTGGAAAATAGTTACCTAAAAATATAATAGAAATTACAATTAGTAATAGATCTTAACAATAAAATTTTACAAATACAATAACATAAGGTGATAATTTAGAAGCCAAAATTAAAAGAGATCAAAGGTCAAAAAAACAAAATAGAAGAATTAAAATAAAATTTGCAGAGGGCTTATAATTATACAATCGAGATTCAAGATTTATATGAGAAGTAGTTAGAGCTCTAAATCAGCTCAATCAATAGGTCAAACTGACCTAACCTGACCTAACAAAATTTAGGTCAACCAATCATCATTCTTAAATGATATTTTATCATTTAATTAGAATGATTCATTATTATTTTTGAATAATAGTTTTATCATTCAATTAGAATGATCCATTATTATTTTTGAATGATAATTTTATCATTCTTAAATGATGATTTTATCATTCTTGAACAATGATTTTATTATTAAAAAATGATGATTTATCATTCAAGAATAATATTTTATCATTCAAAAATAATAGTTTTATCATTTAAAAATAATATTTTATTCGATCAGGTCAGGTCAAATCAGGTCAGATCAAATGATAATTTAAATCAGGTCAGATTTTTATTTGACCTAACTTGATTCTCTTAGTTCAGGTAACTTAATTGACCTGATCTGAACTGACCTATTTAAAGCTCTAGGAGCAGTATAAAAAAAATAGTAATTTTATAAAACAATGGAATTCACAATTTGATAATCAGCAAAAGTGCATTGATGCAATTACTGAAAAGCAAAGATAAAACGGAAGGCATTATTTGATGATATAGAATCTTTGATTAGAGATAATAGTAAGTTTGCAGTAAAAAGTCTTA